AGTAGAAAGTACAGGTATTTGAGTTCAACATGTAAGAAGTAGAAAGTACAGGTATTTGGGTTCAACATGTAAGAAGTAGAAAGTACAGGTATTTGGGTTCAACATGTAAGAAGTAGAAAGTACAGGTATTTGGGTTCAACATGTAAGAAGTAGAAAGTACAGGTATTTGGGTTCAACATGTAAGAAGTAGAAAGTACAGGTATTTGGGTTCAACATGTAAGAAGTAGAAAGTACAGGTATTTGGGTTCAACATGTAAGAAGTAGAAAGTACAGGTATTTGGGTTCAACATGTAAGAAGTAGAAAGTTCAGGTATTTGGGTTCAACATGTAAGAAGTAGAAAGTACAGGTATTTGTGTTCAAAATGTAAGAAGTCAAAGTAAAAAGTCATCAGAAAAATAAGTAGTGGAGTAAAGTACTGATACCAGAAACATGTACTTAAGTACAGTAACAAAGTATTTGTACTCCACTACTTCCCCCCTCTGGATGTTCGGTGGACTAAAGATTGCATCGCTGCTTTTTGGAGATGATGAGGTTTGATGGCTTCATCGGTCAGCAATCTTCAGCAGACCCTGGATCTGTCCACTGCCCAGTGTGAAGCGGTTGGGATGAGGATCAGCACCTCCAAATCTGAGGCCATGGTTCTCAACAGGAAACCGATGGACTGAGTAGGGAATGAGTCCTTACTAGGGTTGCAAATTTAAATTTACCGGAAAGTTTCCGGTAAATTTCCGGAAAGTTTCCGGAAAGTTTCCATGGGAAGTTTGGAAATATTCGATGCAAAATTAAACAAAAAACATGACATTTCAACAGATTTTTTTTTTTTTAATTTGTTTTAAGTAGAACAGAACAAGTTTTAATTATTTTATTGAACAATTTTTTGTTTCATTGAAGAACGAAAACAGGAATGTTGAGTTAAATATTACTCATCCCCCCCAACCCCACTCATTAAAAAATGAACAAAAATGCACCCCCCATCCAAAAATCCCCACAAAGTCCCATTCAAAATGTTAAATGAAAAGATGTGGCTTCATTTGTCGTGTGCTTTGGGCTCAAAAGTGTGATCCAGTCTTCTCGAAATCATCTATGCATGGGATGGAGGAATGCACAGTGCCTGTAGGGGGTGTGGTCTCAATAGCCATGCAGTAAGCAGTGTGCTATGGCATGGATATTCAAGTGTACTTGAATGGCATCTGTTTGTTTTAGTCAAGATTATGCTAAAATATACTTTCCCCAACTATATTTAAGTTCCCTACGAAGAGCCAACCTTCCATTTTGAAAATTCCCAGTTTATTCCCATGGAAAGTTTCCATCTTTGAAAATTCCCGGAATTTTGCAACCCTAGTCCTTACCCCAAGTGAAGGAGTTCAAGTATCTCGGGGTCTCGTTCACAAGTGAGGGGACGATGGAGCGTGAGATGGGCCGGAGAAATCGGGGAATCAGAAACGGTATTGCAGGAACCGCACCGTTGTGACGAAAACAGATCTGAGCCAGAGGAGATTTTCAAAGGACTGAGAAGAGACCGAGGGGCAGACCCAGGACCAGGTGGACGGATTATATCTCCACGCTGGCCATTGGAGTGCCTTGAAATCCCCCAGTCAGACCTGTTGAATGTGGGCTGGGAGAGGGACGTGTTGGGCCCTCTACTGGAGCTGCTACCTCCTGGAAACCAGCTGTGAATAAAAGCTAAAACATGAACCAATACAACATTTCTGACTCGGTGTGGACATGCTCAGAGAGATATTTGGATTCATATCTTTACATTGATGTGAGCTTTACTTGACAAATTATAGAAATTGGTTGGAAGATACTAGCCAACTGCTCTCCAAGAATATCTAGGTTAATATTTAACTCCTCCACTACAACCATTAATCCAGCAATGAATCAGCACTTTGGACACTCCCTGAGTTACATGAGAGGAGACAGAGATCAGCAGAGGAGGTCTGAGAGAGCTCCTCCCTCTCCTGCTGATGTTCAGGTGTATATCAGTATGTAGTGTCTCTACTTTAAAGAGTCCTCTCCTGCTGATGTTCAGGTGTATATCAGTATGTAGTGTCTCTACTTTAAAGAGTCCTCTCCTGCTGATGTTCAGGTGTATATCAGTATGTCGTGTCTCTACTTTAAAGAGTCCTCTCCTGCTGATGTTCAGGTGTATATCAGTATGTAGTGTCTCTACTTTAAAGAGTCCTCTCCTGCTGATGTTCAGGTGTATATCAGTATGTAGTGTCTCTACTTTAAAGAGTCCTCTCCTGCTGATGTTCAGCTGTATATCAGTATGTAGTGTCTCTACTTTAAAGAGTCCTCTCCTGCTGATGTTCAGGTGTATATCAGTATGTAGTGTCTCTACTTTAAAGAGTCCTCTCCTGCTGATGTTCAGGTGTATATCAGTATGTAGTGTCTCTACTTTAAAGAGTCCTCTCCTGCTGATGTTCAGGTGTATATCAGTATGTAGTGTCTCTACTTTAAAGAGTCCTCTCCTGCTGATGTTCAGGTGTATATCAGTATGTAGTGTCTCTACTTTAAAGAGTCCTCTCCTGCTGATGTTCAGGTGTATATCAGTATGTAGTGTCTCTACTTTAAAGAGTCCTCTCCTGCTGATGTTCAGGTGTATATCAGTATGTAGTGTCTCTACTTTAAAGAGTCCTCTCCTGCTGATGTGCAGGTGTATATCAGTATGTAGTGTCTCTACTTTAAAGAGTCCTCTCCTGCTGATGTTCAGGTGTATATCAGTATGTAGTGTCTCTACTTTAAAGAGTCCTCTCCTGCTGATGTTCAGGTGTATATCAGTATGTAGTGTCTCTACTTTAAAGAGTCCTCTCCTGCTGATGTTCAGGTGTATATCAGTATGTAGTGTCTCTACTTTAAAGAGTCCTCTCCTGCTGATGTGCAGGTGTATATCAGTATGTAGTGTCTCTACTTTAAAGAGTCCTCTCCTGCTGATGTTCAGGTGTATATCAGTATGTAGTGTCTCTACTTTAAAGAGTCCTCTCCTGCTGATGTTCAGGTGTATATCAGTATGTAGTGTCTCTACTTTAAAGAGTCCTCTCCTGCTGATGTTCAGGTGTATATCAGTATGTAGTGTCTCTACTTTAAAGAGTCCTCTCCTGCTGATGTTCAGGTGTATATCAGTATGTAGTGTCTCTACTTTAAAGAGTCCTCTCCTGCTGATGTTCAGGTGTATATCAGTATGTAGTGTCTCTACTTTAAAGAGTCCTCTCCTGCTGATGTTCAGGTGTGTATCAGTGTGTAGTGTCTCTACTTTAAAGAGTCCTCTCCTGCTGATGTTCAGGTGTGTATCAGTATGTAGTGTCTCTACTTTAAAGAGTCCTCTCCTGCTGATGTTCAGGTGTATATCAGTATGTAGTGTCTCTACTTTAAAGAGTCCTCTCCTGCTGATGTTCAGGTGTATATCAGTATGTAGTGTCTCTACTTTAAAGAGTCCTCTCCTGCTGATGTTCGGGTGTATATCAGTATCTAGTGTCTCTACTTTAAAGAGTCCTCTCCTGCTGATGTTCAGGTGTATATCAGTATGTAGTGTCTCTACTTTAAAGAGTGCTCTCCTGCTGATGTTCAGGTGTATATCAGTATGTAGTGTCTCTACTTTAAAGAGTCCTCTCCTGCTGATGTTCAGGTGTGTATCAGTGTGTAGTGTCTCTACTTTAAAGAGTCCTCTCCTGCTGATGTTCAGGTGTATATCAGTATGTAGTGTCTCTACTTTAAAGAGTCCTCTCCTGCTGATGTTCAGGTGTATATCAGTATGTAGTGTCTCTACTTTAAAGAGTCCTCTCCTGCTGATGTTCAGGTGTATATCAGTATGTAGTGTCTCTACTTTAAAGAGTCCTCTCCTGCTGATGTTCGGGTGTATATCAGTATCTAGTGTCTCTACTTTAAAGAGTCCTCTCCTGCTGATGTTCAGGTGTATATCAGTATGTAGTGTCTCTACTTTAAAGAGTGCTCTCCTGCTGATGTTCAGGTGTATATCAGTATGTAGTGTCTCTACTTTAAAGAGTCCTCTCCTGCTGATGTTCAGGTGTGTATCAGTGTGTAGTGTCTCTACTTTAAAGAGTCCTCTCCTGCTGATGTTCAGGTGTATATCAGTATGTAGTGTCTCTACTTTAAAGAGTCCTCTCCTGCTGATGTTCAGGTGTATATCAGTATGTAGTGTCTCTACTTTAAAGAGTCCTCTCCTGCTGATGTTCAGGTGTATATCAGTATGTAGTGTCTCTACTTTAAAGAGTCCTCTCCTGCTGATGTTCAGGTGTATATCAGTATGTAGTGTCTCTACTTTAAAGAGTCCTCTCCTGCTGATGTTCGGGTGTATATCAGTATCTAGTGTCTCTACTTTAAAGAGTCCTCTCCTGCTGATGTTCAGGTGTATATCAGTATGTAGTGTCTCTACTTTAAAGAGTCCTCTCCTGCTGATGTTCAGGTGTATATCAGTATGTAGTGTCTCTACTTTAAAGAGTCCTCTCCTGCTGATGTTCAGGTGTATATCAGTATGTAGTGTCTCTACTTTAAAGAGTGCTCTCCTGCTGATGTTCAGGTGTATATCAGTATGTAGTGTCTCTACTTTAAAGAGTCCTCTCCTGCTGATGTTCAGGTGTGTATCAGTGTGTAGTGTCTCTACTTTAAAGAGTCCTCTCCTGCTGATGTTCAGGTGTATATCAGTATGTAGTGTCTCTACTTTAAAGAGTCCTCTCCTGCTGATGTTCAGGTGTATATCAGTATGTAGTGACTGCCTGTGGTGCAGCACCTCTTTTCACCCTCTGTCTGAAATCAGAGCTGCTCTGATTGGTTTGCTGGTCGGCTCTGTGGTGATTGGTCAACCGCTTAGAGATGTCCCGCCCCTTAGCTGATCATGTACAATGTGTTGGAGCTCTAGCCACTGTATGGCCCTTTGTTTCAGTGGGGGAACTGCATTCTGAGGTACATTTAAGACAATCTGAAGAGTTGTGATGTATTTTTATGATCATAACTAACCTGAGCTCCTCCTCTCTTTCAGACGTGGCTGAAGAACTACGGCTACCTGCTGCCTCACGACCTCCGAACCTCCGACCTGCGGCAGGAGAAAGCCATGCAGTCAGCTGTGGCCGCCATGCAGCGCTTCTACGGGATTCCTGTGACGGGAATACTGGACGAGACTACAATAGAGTGAGTCGTGTGTGTGTGTGTGTGTGTGTGTGTGTGTGTGTGTGTGTGTGTGTGTGTGTGTGTGTGTGTGTGTGTGTGTGTGTGTGTGTGTGTGTGTGTGTGTGTGTGTGTGTGTGTGTGTGTGTGTGTGTGTGTGTGTGTGTGTGTGTGTGTGTGTGTGTGTGTGTGTGTGTGTGTGTGTGTGTGTGTGTGTGTGTGTGTGTGTATGTATGTAGGATCACAAGGGGGGGTCTGAGCTCCTATGAAAGCAGGGAAATCATACATCTGTGGGGGTCGCTGATACATTACCAACAACCATTATTTTAATCACAAATAATGCATTTTTCAATGTAATGAGTATTATTCACGTTAACGAGGTAAATCGGCTAAAAGAAAAACATGTTTTTCAAAAGAACTACACCTCATATTCTCTCTTGAATGACAATATGCCTGCACTTCACCTCCGGGGTATATAAATATCACCCGTTTTTTACGTTATTACTCGGCTGTTATTGATATATTTATCTCCGCCCCTAACGTTAGTTTTAAAGACCCCGGTAAAACTCAGATTATAACTCGATGGTGTCAGGGTTAGGGTCAGGGAGGTAACATCCTAACACATACAGTCATCAGTACTCAGGTGTTGTTGTTCAAGCAAAACATGTGATGTGATCGAATAGCCCCTCTTCAAAACATAACACCCATCTGAGAGCAGGCGTGTCAAACTCATGTGATCTGAATTTCACTATAAAAAAGTAAAAATTCTATTAAAAAAAATTCAACCCAAAAAGTACATTTTGTTAAAAAAGACAAAATGTTTTAACACTGAAAAGAAAAATATCTAAATTCCAAGGGTGCATTCACACCAGCCGTTTATAGTCCGGTTGAATCGAACCCTGGTGCGTTTAGCCGCTTGGTGCGGTTCATTTGGGTCGGTGTGAACACAGACCTCTGAAGTGAATTAAACAACCGGACTCTGGTCCGCTAAAAGAGGTGGTCTCGGAACGCTTGCTTGTGAACTCTGGAGCGGTTCATTGCTGGTGTGAACGCAGTCCGCACCAAAACATAGGAAGCTTAGTATTTACGTGTCACAAGAACGCAGGTGTCTTCATTTCTTTAGTGAAAGAGTGAAGCAGAATGAAGTGTTGAACAGTGTCGTGTAAAGTAAAAACAGCTATCAAACTAAAAACTATACATAAAAGTCGCTGTCGGTGAAACCCCCTCCTGACTGCAGAACGTCTCTCATTATATGTGTTATAATGTTTTGTATCGCACGTTGTCTGATTATATAATCATATGCGCCGTTGCTGTTGATATGCTCTCCAGATTAACACCAGCATGAGAATAACCTGCCGATGCTCCATGGCCGAGGCTCCGGTAGAAATTGCCAGGATTTGCGTTTTTACCCCCTTAATGTCTGACCAATGGTTGAACAGCATTTCCGAGCACATGATTTATGTTTAAAGTTTATAGTCCGTTTGAGTTTTGCCCGTGTGAACGCAAACCGAACCTTCTGAAAAATGAAACAATGTAACAAAAAGAGAAGCGGACTATAGGTGTGAATGCACCCTAAGAGACATTTTGATCAAAAGTAAAAAATAAGAAAAAAAAGCCAAACTTCTGGTAAAAAGTAAATTCTAAGAAAAAAAGGTAAATTCAACATAAATGTGCATTTTGATAAAAACTCAACATTTTAAAGAAAAAAACTTAAAGGGGACCTATCATGCAAAATGCACTTTTGTACGTCTTTTCTACATGAATATGTGTCCCCGGTGTTCCAGGGAACTCACCAAGTGTCAGAAAACACAACCCTCTCTATTTTCCTCCATACCCAAATCTCTAAAAAAGGGGCTGCAACGGATCTGATAAAAACTGATCCAGATTTGAACACTGTCCTGACGTCAGGACGGTGGCGCTACGGCTATTGGGCCAACTCCACCAATCAGGAGACAGCCACGGCCATTGCCGTTCGAAAGCGCTGGAGACGCTGTAGTACATATGCCAGGCCTGTAGGTGGTGCTGTTCTCACAGAATCTGCCCTTGCTAAAACAGAGCTATAAAATGTCAAATTGAGCGAAATGAGGCATGGCTAAAATGCATGATCTGTTTGGTATTTTGAAAAGAAAAAAGTATAAATATGCCTTATATAGGTATGGTCCTACACTATATTATTATAATATAGCATGATAGGTCCACTTTAAGCTCTTATGATTAAACAAAGGATTAAACAAAACACACATTTTAGAGCCGGGTGTCAATCTCATTTTAATAGAGGCCACCGCAGAATAAGGCCTGTTTAAAATAATTTAAAAAATGTACGAAAATATGATCATGGTTGTTAGTGTCTTCAGTAGATACAGGTTCTTCTTTACTAAATGTTGAATGGTTGTGTTTTAGGTGGATGAGGAGACCTCGCTGTGGCGTTCCAGATCATCCTCACACCACCCGCCGGCAGAGGAATAAACGCTACGCTCTGACGGGGCAGAAATGGAGAGACAAAAAGATCTCCTACAGGTAAAACCCTCAAACACACACTTCTACTCCACTACAGTTCAGAGGTACATGGTGTACTTCTACTCCACTACAGTTCAGAGGTACATGGTGTACTTCTCCTCCACTACATGTATTTAATACCTTTAGTTACTTCACAGATGTGGATGAATGATGTGAAATATAATCAAGTGTTAAATCAGACTTCAGTTCCACCTGGAGTAAATCCACAAGCTACCCTGCAGTATACAAAGTCATTCAAACTAGCTGCACCTTTACCAGCTTTGAGAACACTTTCATGATCAATCATTATAAAACATATCATATATATTATTCTGGAATGGACCAATCTGCACAATGACTACTTTTACTGTACTTTCACTATATTTTGATGAGAATACTTTTCTACTTTCACTTGAGGAACATTTTGAATGCAGGACTTTTACTGTAACAGAGTATTCCTACACTCTGGTACTTCTACTTTTACTCAAGTACAAGACCTGAGTACTTCTACTTTAACTACAAGATCTGAGTACTTCTACTTTTACTCAAGTACAAGACCTGAGTACTTCTACTTTTACTACAAGATCTGAGTACTTCTACTTTTACTCAAGTACAAGACCTGAGTACTTCTACTTTTACTCAAGTACAAGATCTGAGTACTTCTACTTTTACTCAAGTACAAGATCTGAGTACTTCTACTTTTACTCAAGTACAAGATCTGAGTACTTCTACTTTTACTCAAGTACAAGACCTGAGTACTTCTACTTTTACTCAAGTACAAGATCTGAGTACTTCTACTTTTACTCAAGTACAAGACCTGAGTACTTCTACTTTTACTACAAGATCTGAGTACTTCTACTTTTACTCAAGTACAAGATCTGAGTACTTCTACTTTTACTACAAGATCTGAGTACTTCTACTTTTACTCAAGTACAAGACCTGAGTACTTCTACTTTTACTCAAGTACAAGATCTGAGTACTTCTACTTTTACTCAAGTACAAGATCTGAGTACTTCTACTTTACTCAAGTACAAGACCTGAGTACTTCTACTTTTACTCAAGTACAAGATCTGAGTGCTTCTACTTTTACTCAAGTACAAGATCTGAGTACTTCTACTTTTACTCAAGTACAAGATCTGAGTACTTCTACTTTTACTCAAGTACAAGATCTGAGTACTTCTACTTTTACTCAAGTACAAGATCTGAGTACTTCTACTTTTACTCAAGTACAAGACCTGAGTACTTCTACTTTTACTCAAGTACAAGATCTGAGTGCTTCTACTTTTACTCAAGTACAAGATCTGAGTACTTCTACTTTTACTCAAGTACAAGACCTGAGTACTTCTACTTTTACTCAAGTACAAGATCTGAGTACTTCTACTTTTACTCAAGTACAAGATCTGAGTACTTCTACTTTTACTCAAGTACAAGATCTGAGTACTTCTACTTTTACTCAAGTACAAGACCTGAGTACTTCTACTTTTACTCAAGTACAAGATCTGAGTACTTCTACTTTTACTCAAGTACAAGACCTGAGTACTTCTACTTTTACTCAAGTACAAGATCTGAGTACTTCTACTTTTACTCAAGTACAAGACCTGAGTACTTCTACTTTTACTCAAGTACAAGACCTGAGTACTTCTACTTTTACCAGATATAAGTACTTCTCCACCTCTGTACGAAGGCTCTTCTCCCTCTTTTCTCTCTCCATCTTCCTCCTCTCTCTCTGAACTGAATTATCTCCGTCCCACGGGACCCTGAATGCATCTCGTGTTCCTGCATCACGTCCACCCACTCGTCTCTCCATCTTTCTCTTCACTCCTCCTCTCTTTCCAGCCTGTTCTATTGTCTCCTACTGTCTATATAGATGTAACCCTCCGCTGTATGAGGAGACGATCAGACGATCAGACGATCAGACGATCAGACGATCAGACGATCAGACACGATCAGACACGATCAGACGATCAGACGATCAGACACGATCAGACGATCAGACGATCAGACGATCAGGACGATCAGACACGATCAGACGATCAGACGATCAGACGATCAGACGATCAGACGATCAGTGACGGTCTGATGCAGATTAGAGGCGTCCAGCGAGATATAATGTAGCCCCGTGATAAACACCCTGTCCGTTAACTCTTCTATTCAGTCAGCTGACTGCAATCAGAGGCTGTGTTCCCACTGAAGAAATGTACTTCATTTTATATTTAGTCTTGTTCGGTTTCACAACTAAAAGCAGATTTGATAAAAAAATACATTTCCTAAAGCTCAACGTACGGATGAACAACAAATCCTTCGTATCCAGAGTTTTCTTCATGAACACTTTCTTCCGTGGACTTTATTTAGCATTTTCTTTAGCTTTCCTACTCTGGAAACGGACCAAATGTTTGCTTGCCAAAGCACTCGAAGAAAAGGGAAGCTACGTGCAGCTACCACTGTTCTCACTGCAGATTGGACTGCATTTGGATTTCTTTGTATTATTCTTATTGTGTACGAATGAAGCGCACCAGAGTCTGATTAAAATAGATGAAATGCGACCTTGTGAAAGCGTTGTCAGCATCCATTACTTAGGGAGTAGCCGTTGTCTCTGGTGTCTGGTAGCAGGTATTCTCAGCGGGACAGAAATGCAAAAGCTCATTTGCAACACGGCAAACACAACAATTCATTAAGCCGGGTTTTCCCTCTCATCCTTCCTCTCCTCCTTTTCCTCCACTCCACCCCACTCTCAGCTAATGTAAATGACGTCTCTCCCACGAGGCACTGAAGGCATCCTGGCACTCCTGCATTACATCCCGCTACACAAACCCCACAGTGTGAGATCAGTCCTCTCCGGTTACCTCTTACTGTATGTGAGTCTCCTCTTTGTTTCACCGGCTGCCACTGTTCGGGCTGCATTACTCTAATCGTTTTCTAACTCGATTGTTCTCCTGCGAAGGCGCCAAACTATCTCTAGTGCCAGCGCCGTCTCCGATGAATTCCCCTCATATGTAACTCATTTGCATCGGCTTATGTTTCTGACAAGTGCTGCCGGGATTACATTATTTACAGACCTATGTTCCCTGGCACGGCGAGAAGTAGGTTGATGTTCTTATCCTCGTTATTCCTAACCCCATGGCACCGTGCATGAAATACACGTTTTTCTGGAGAAGAAGGGATTCGTATACAAAGCAAACATGTAAGCATGATGCCTCTGATTTGGTGTAGTCAAACATACCAGGGCTTGGCTTGGGATTTTGGGAACTAAGTCATGTGGAATCACAACGTTATGTTAAATGGGATGTGATTAGATGACCTGGAGAAGAGGCCTCTGATTGCACTGAACTGAATGAATTTAAAGTTAGCTTAAATAATAAACAGTTAATGGATGGGATGTGCTATGTTTCAGATACGTGCTGGAATAATTCTCATAACTGTAAGTGTTTGTCAGTATATCTGAAATCACTAGGTTAGCTACGTTAGCTAGCTAACTTACAGCAGATCTGCAGTAACATCAGAAGGAGTCATGTGACCACATTGTTAAAATAAGACCATCAAACATTTCAGGTAAGTTTCCAACAACAGAGACAGCTGTTTATAAACCTGAACGTCACCAAGCGCTCCGTCCCAGCTGTGTGCGTCACTCTTTAGTGTCCCCTGGTCTCCTAGCTGTGTGCGTCACTCTTTAGTGTCCCCTGGTCTCCTAGCTGTGTGCGTCACTCTTTAGTGTCCCCTGGTGTCCCAGCTGTGTGCGTCACTCTTTAGTGTCCCCTGGTCTCTCAGCTGTGTGCGTCACTCTTTAGTGTCCCCTGGTCTCTCAGCTGTGTGCGTCACTCTTTAGTGTCCCCTGGTCTCTCAGCTGTGTGCGTCACTCTTTAGTGTCCCCTGGTCTCCTAGCTGTGTGCGTCACTCTTTAGTGTCCCCTGGTCTCTCAGCTGTGTGCGTCACTCTTTAGTGTCCCCTGGTCTCTCAGCTGTGTGCGTCACTCTTTAGTGTCCCCTGGTCTCCCAGCTGTGTGCGTCACTCTTTAGTGTCCCCTGGTCTCCCAGCTGCAGCGCGTTTCTCCTGATGGAAATGTGTTGAGCCGTCTCCTCACCGTCTCCTCACCGTCTCCTCACGGTCTCCTCACCGTCTCCTCACCGTCTCCTCACCGTCTCCTCACCGTCTCCTCACGGTCTCCTCACCGTCTCCTCACGGTCTCCTCACCGTCTCCTCACCGTCTCTTCACGGTCTCCTCACCGTCTCCTCACCGTCTCCTCACCGTCTCCTCTGTTTTCCCTGATAACATGGGAAACAGAGATTACTCTGCTTGTGTTTCAGATACTAGAGAACCCTGTGATATTTGATGAGTTCAGTCGGGATGACTTTCCTCTTTGCTCTGACACTGACAGCAATGCAGAGAGACTTTCAGAGGAGTTTAAGAGCTGCTGAAAACTGGAGCTGCAGGATTATGCAACTGTGTAAAAAAAAAAAGCGTTGATGCCTCAGGACTGGGAGGTGAATACAAAACACAGAGTAGAAAGAAACAGAGAGAGAGGAAAGAACTTAAAGAAGATGGTTCACTTTTTGGTTCATTGCTTAAAATAGTTTTCTACAAACTGAGCACATCTGTTTAGTTAGGGAACATCTGCATCTTTCGCTCTTCTGCAGACTCTCAGTGGATGATGTGTAGGAACCACAGATGTCTGACACTGTAGTATCAGTAGTGCGCGTTCGTGTTCCCCAGAGGATACATCTCTCTGGGTTTGGACAACCCTATTACCTTTCCTTTAGCAGCACAATAAGGTTTGCCTTTGGGGTTCTAATGAAATATTTAGACGGTCATTGTTTGGTCAAGAGGCTGAAGCTCTCTGGATAAATAAGAGGTTGAAGTTTTGACCAATTCACTTTTGATTTTTCTCCGCTTAACCTTTGCTTTAATTATAAATGCTATGATTGTCTCCATATGGCCGTGTGTGTGTGTGTGTGTGTGTGTGTGTGTGTGTGTGTGCGCACTCTCACCATCTGTGTGTTTTGGCCACAGGTCATTTGGCCAGCTTCAGTGCGGTATCGTTCCACACCATTTACTCAAATCAGACAACTGCTACACACACACACACATACACACACACACACACACACACACACACACACACACACACACACACACACACACACACACACACACACACACACACACACACACACACACACACACACCCCTTAGCACTAGCAATAGCAGCTCCAGTGCACATAGTGACCTCACTACTTTCAGGAAGTAAACCAAGGAGTGGATTGGAGGCGTTTCAAACAGGGGGAGAGAAACAGGGATTTTAGAGTTTGTAGACCATTTACATGCACTAAGACATATATAACCCTAACTGCAGGAGAGGGGAACCCCTGAAGAATATGGCCTCTTTAACTTAGCAACAATAACAAATCCATTCCCAGCATCACACCGAGACACACGACTCATAAACGACACACACAGCGATCATCATTTCTTCTCCAGATGGACGTGTTTATTCGCCTCATGAGGTCGATAATGTTGAATTATGAGGAATATGGAATGTGCTCATATTTATTTCCATAATGCATTTCCCTGCTCTGGATATAAAAGCATTTGCCTCCTGTAGAGAAACAGATTGTGTGAAATGAAGTCGCCTTGCTCTGTTATCTTAGTCGCTTGTTTCTACGTCTCCCGGCTGTTCTTTTCCGTCCTCGCCTCTCTGCGTCTGCCGATCACTCATCTGTCCTCCTCCCTCCTCTTCCTCCCTCCTCTTCCTCCCTCCTCTTCCTCTCTCTTATTCTCTGGTATGGTCAGAACGTTTATTTTACAGTGTTTCTGTGTTGGACCCTGAAGGCAGCGTCTCTCCGGTCCAATGGGATCTCTCTGTGTGATGTCAGAAAATAATCTCTGCGTCAAACAAACGTTTATGTTTCTTACACGTTCAGTTCAGCAGGATCATCTAGGTAGGTCTATAGGTAATGTTGTATTCTTTCTCTCCCTCAGCATATCTAACTTCACCCCTAAAGTGGGAGAGAAAGACACACAGAGGGCGATCCGACAAGCCTTCAACGTCTGGCAGACGGTCACCCCGCTCTCCTTCCAGGTGCAGTAGAAGTGTCTTGTGTAGAAATGTAGAAATGTCACTGCTACTTTTTGTCATGTGCACACAGCGTCTGGACTTTGAGTCTCTTATTTCTACTGTAAACAGAAAATACCTTTATTCAAGATTTAATCCAGACAATTCAAGGCGAAACAGAACAGAACTTCCGATGTACGAATAACACCAAAGACTATCAGACAAACAGACCGAACATAAAGGAGACGTTCCTGCTGGAGCTCCAGCGTTTCTCACTTCCTTCAAAACAAAACAAGGCATTGAACTTAAGTAGAAATGAAGGTGTAGAAATAAACAATAGTACAATTTAAACATCTCAAAATAGAACATATACAGTAGATAACCGTGAAGATATAAAAGTCTAGGCGCAACCAATCGAAAGAGGCAGGAAAAACACGCAAAGACAGGAAGTAAAGACAGAGACTCCAGCCTTTCTCACTTCCTCTTCCTGTTTCAGGAGGTGCCGTACTCGGAGATCAAGAACGACGGAAAGGAGGCGGACATCATGATCTTCTTCGCCTCCGGTTTCCACGGCGACAGCTCTCCGTTTGACGGGGAGGGGGGTTTCCTCGCCCACGCCTACTTCCCCGGCGCCGGCATCGGGGGGGACACACACTTCGACTCTGATGAACCCTGGACGCTGGGCAACGCCAACCACGACGGTGAGACCACAAGAAGCCGACATTAAAGAGGCCCTATTCTGCTTTTTGGGGTTTTCCTTTTTCCTGTTATATAGGTTTTAGTGCATGTCAATGGTCTGCAAAGGCTAAAATCCCTGTGTTCCCTCCATAGGGAGTTTCTCTGCCACAAACTCCCCGAAAACAGCAAGTCTCATTTCTCCTAAAGAGGCCCTATTCTGCTTTTTGGGGGTTTCCATTTCCTGTAGTTTGTTCTAAAGGTTTTGGTGCATGTAAATGGTCTGCAAAGGCAAAAATCCCGGTGTTCCCTCCATAGGGACAAACCCCCCGAAAACACGAACTCTAATTTCTCCTAAAGAGGCCCTATTCTGCTTTTTGGGGGGGTTTCCCTTCCCTGTAGTGTGTTCTAAAGGTTGTGGTGCATGTAAAGGGTCTGCAGAGGTTAAAATCCCAGTGTTTCTCTCCCACACCCCCCTCTCTCCTTCAACCGCCTCCATTGGACTCCTTTGTTTACTTCGGGAACACAGTGACATCACCATGCGCTCCTATTGGCTAACGCTCTAACACATTGTCCGTGATAGGCTTAGGGGCGTCTCTAATCGGTTGACCAATCACAACAGAGCCGTATTTAATCGATGTCTTGTTTCCTAATTTGCTAGTCAGTAGGGCGGCAACAACCCCCCGTGGTATCAATCCTGGGCTTAGGACTTATTATAAGATAAGATAAGATAAGATAAGATAAGATAAGATAAGATAAGATAAGATAAGATAAGATAAGAGGTACTTTATTGATCCCAAATTGGGCAATGTTTGAGTTGCAGCAGCATCAAAAACAACGTTAGTAGAAATGAAGGAGTACACAGTCAAATCTGGAGTGTTAATTTACACTGTAGATAAGGACCATATGTTCACTGGCTTTAAGTGTTAATTTAACACTTAAAGAGTATGAATCCCTCCCTTTAAGTGTTCATTTAATTTACCTTGATGTACCTGTGACTTTGAAGAAATTATTTATAATCCATAATTCCATTTTTTATGTAAAAATCGGAGCGGAAAAGTTAGCTGCTAATGGTAGCCACCAGAGTGTATGCAGCTTCCGGTTTTGGTAACGCGTCACTCTCACTCCTTATTTGTTAACGTTTTGGTGTGTATATAACTTCCCCTCGATTCCATTGGCTCTAGCGGTTATAAAGAGCTTTCATTCATCAAAATCGAGCAAGGGGGGCCAGAGATAGGTCAAATCCACCCAAATGACCCCAGAAGTGGTTTCTTTTTGCTAAATCTCTCTAAAAAGGTCAAATGTCACTTGTTTTGCATCAATCTTGATACAGGGTACTTATTATATGTTGTACTTTGGATTCCTAAAGCTTTTAGTCTACTAACCCATCATCCAAGGGTAGTTTTCACTATAAGTAAAAAAGAATTTTTGGACGGACACTATAATTTACAGTTTTTTACTATGTTCAATCTGAATTTTCTTTAAAATAAAAAACATCTATATTGATTCTGACACTTCTACATCCAACTCACAGGTTTATCATTACTTTGAGAAAAAAGATTATTAATTTAACCCTTTTAGAAGGGAAGATATGGTCATCTGTTCTGGGAATGTCATTTTCGAGCCTGAGACCTGAAAAACAGGCTCAGGGCTAAACAGGTTAAAGAGTATGAATCCCTCCCTTTAAGTGTTAATTTAACACTTAAAGAGTATGAATCCCTCCCTTTAAGTGTTAATTTAACACTTAAAGAGTATAAATCCCTCCCATTAAGTGTTAATTTAACACTTAAAGCCTTTAAGTGTTAATTTAACACTTAAAGAGTATTAATCCCTCCCTTTTTAACACTTAAAGAGTATTAATCCCTCCCTTTAAGTGTTAATTTAACACTTAAAGAGTATTAATCCCTCCCTTTAAGTGTTAATTTAACACTTAAAGCCTTTAAGTGTTAATTTAACACTTAAAGAGTATTAATCCCTCCCTTTAAGTGTTAATTTAACACTTAAAGAGTATGAATCCCTCCCTTTAAGTGTTAATTTAACACTTAAAGAGTATTAATCCCTCCCTTTAAGTGTTAATTTAACACTTAAAAGCCTTTAAGTGTTAATTTAACACTTAAAGAGTATTAATCCCTCCCTTTAAGTGTTAATTTAACACTTAAAGAGTATTAATCCCTCCCTTTAAGTGTTACTTTAACACTTAAAGCCTTTAAGTGTTAATTTAACACTTAAAGAGTATTAATCCCTCCCTTTAAGTGTTAATTTAACACTTAAAGAGTACATTTTTAACACTGAGCCAGTAGAAATAAACAATACCAGAATTTAAACATCTCAAAATAGAATTAAAGCAGCGAAGCAGTGAAGATAAAACGTCTATAAACTCTGACAGTAAAACACTATTGAATCAAAAGTCAACTTTAAAGTGTGTTTGTACAGACAGAGAGATCGAAATAACGTTTCCAACAATCCCGAATACAAAATACAATAATACAAATATCCAAATATGTATACAAATATGTATATCCTATATACAATCAACAGACACATGTACACATATGCACACATTAAGATGAAACACAACAATCAATATATCCAAAGTAGCAGTCACTTCAGTATCTCAGGGGACGCACTCAGTGCAAGATGAACGGTGTGTGAGAAGCTAATGTCAGCCTGCTGTAACCACGAGTGAATGACGGCTATAAATGACCCATTGATTACATTCTGAGGTATAAACAGTCCTGTATGGCACTTGTAAATGAAATGCTTGTCCCCCGGCCTCGCTTCACTATCTCTGAGCTCCACACTGGATGAAACATGAAGGAGGATAAAAACACTTCACTTTGTACTTTATTGTTTCCTTCTTCTTCTATCTCTTTTTGACAAATGACTTCTGCCAGATTCCCTCTGCTTGAGTAACGAACGTGTTGACAGAGCGGGGGAGTGATGGAGGGGAGGGGGAGGAGGGGGGGGGTCTGGTTTGAGAGATTAGCAGAAGAGAATTAGCTTTGACAGAGGAGCTCTAAATGTGCTTACAGCGAGTGTGTGTCGTCTTGTTCCAGAGAGAAGACTGGAGCAGAGGACACATGAGTTTCTGTTTGTCCTTTATCAATTTAAAAAGCACAATATCACAAAATACACTTAAAGGGGACCTATCATGCACTTGTGTACGTCTTTTCTACATGAATATGTGTCCCCGGTGTTCCAGGGAACTCACCAAGTGTCAGAAAACACAACCCTCTCTATTTTCCTCCATACCCAAATCTCTAAAAAAGGGGCTGCAACGGATCTGATAAAAACTGATCCAGATTTGAACACTGTCCTGACGTCAGGACGGTGGCGCTACGGCTATTGGGCCAACTCCACCAATCAGGAGGAGACAGCCACGGCCATTGCCGTTCGAAAGCGCTGGAGACGCTGTAGTACATATGCCAGGCCTGTAGGTGGTGCTGTTCTCACTGAATCTGCCCTTGCTAAAACAGAGCTAGAAATTGTCAAATTGAGCGAAATGAGGCATGGCTAAAATGCATGATCTGTTTGGTATTTTGAAAAGAAAAAAGTATAAATATGCCTTATATAGGTATGGTCCTACACTATATTATTCAAATATAGCATGATGTCCACTTTAAGTCTAAGGGGGCTTTATAGTGAGTACAGACACTCAATAGATGTTGTGTCTATAGATTAAAAAACGAGAATAAAATTACAAGGCAAGTTTAGTTATCCAGCAGCTTTCAACACAAGGCCATTCAAAGTGCTTTAAAGAAATGAAAGACATTAAGAAAATGAAGAAACATATTATAAACATTAAAAAGCAAAGATAATAAAACATGAATAACAGTTACAGAGCCGTGTGAGATGTGAAGAGTTCAATTAAAAGCAGCGGCAAAAAGAAAAGTCTTCAGCCTGGATTGAAAAGCAGTCAGAGTTGCAGCGGACCTGCAGGTTTCTGGTATTTGTTCCAGATATTTGGAAATATCTCTCACCAAATTCTCACATTCCTCGACCCCTAGTCTTCCTGTGAGTCTACCTTTTGATATTCCTTCCATCCTTCTCTTTCCTCCATGTTGCATCCCCAGACAACACATACTGTTACCCCAACCCATCTTTGACCTTTAAACCAGTTTTCTTTCAATTTCCCAGAATTAGGATATTTAAACCTGTTGAAAGACTTCGCATGAATTTTTGGAATTTTCAAATCCAAAAAGGAATACAACATATGTAATCGAAATTCCAAAAATATATGATGTGAATATATATTTAAAAAAAGGATGGATCAAGGAGGATGTCTAAAACCTTCCAGGTGCAAAAGAGCAACCTTTTATTTCCCCCGGCTAGACGTCTACACTGAATATCTCGAAGTCTTACGCTACGTCCACACGGCAGCGTGCGTTGAAGCTTCAACGGAGACGCTTCCCATGCACTTTGAATGGGGTGCCGTCACGCTTTGCCGAACTGCATTGTGGTTCTGTTGCGTTTTCGAAAAGTTGAGAAAAGTTCAACTTTTCAAGCGTCGACGGAAGCGCCAGCCAATCAAATCATATGCCAGTACAAGCGCTAGCCAATCAAACCGTGTGCTTGTGTGTCCGGGGGCGGGAGATGAATGTGATTGGTTGTTGGTCGCGCTCCAGACACACGCCCACCGGCAAGCTTCAACGCGACGGAACCGTGTGGACGTACCGTTATGCCTGAGACGCTGCGTCAGTGTGTGAGGAAGGCAGTAACGCAAAGAAATAGATAATATTAAAAGAAATGCCATGACATTTTTGTTCAGACTCCTTTAAACGTCGTGAAGGAATAGATTTATTAGTAAATCATCTACGATAAGATAAACGTTTATTAATCCCCGTAGGGAAATGAAAAATAGCAATAAGAGCGAAACACAGGGACGTATCAGATATATACATACATGATACAATAACAGAAGGTGAAACTGTTTGTATATTTACAGAAATGAATAGCTGTGTGTGTGTGTGTGTGTGTGTGTGTGTGTGTGTGTGTGTGTGTCTCCTGCACACCCTCACACACGCTT